AATAAAATAAGACGTGAAAACAAACGCGTGTCGCTTGGAATTTGATGAAACATTGGCTACATTTTGATCTAGTACCTAAATTACGCTTGTTAAAAATAATCAAAGAAGGTATTGTGTTTAAAAGTTCAGTAGTTACGTAAAAGATAAATAACCAATATTTTGAGCTCTATAAAATACCTTCTCATGCATAAATCTAACATTTATCAAAACTATGACAGTGTTGATTTATCCTTATTAGATTACTATGTAAATACTGCTTGCCTACACAAAAGTCATTTGTCATATTTTATGTATTAGTTTAAAGTTATTTAGTATCCAGAAACACCGTTTTTTAATCAAGCTAAGGCCTTAAACGTACAAAGAAGCAACGAAAGTTGACACCACCATAACTTTGACCATAAAAACCGCTGATTGAGGCGTATCATTCACATAATTTTGGAAAATTTACATCGACCATCTATCATTGATCCCTAAACTAACCAAAATTATACACGAACGGAGACCAAGTTAAAATATCAGAGTTTGTTATTTATTACTTTTAAAAGGTGTTAAATTTTTTAACGACGTTTTAATTTCTAGTGTAATTGCAGATGAAAAATAACTTTATAATCGGTTCTGTGTGTTTATACTGTTTATTGATTAATTTAACGGGACAAATGGGAATTGATTAATAATTTGTGTTAACAAACGTTGTAATGATTTATTTAGGTTGTTTTAACGGGTGACGGGTCATTAATTAGTGGTTGTTGGTCAATTTGTTCTTTCGACGTAGAGACATTTTGTTGGCGACTTTTTCATTCTACTTTTTGTTGACGTTGTCATTGTTGTTGATGATGTCATTGACTATGGCCAATGGTCGTGCAGAACAGTTATTACATTAGTAGGTACACAATACAGGTAATTTTAAATCTTAAACATGCGTCTTTTATTGTAAAAAAAACTTTGAAATATAAATTACCTTACCTATACTTGTGATTACGAATTCAATGACATTTATCGTGGATATAGGATAGATATTTACTGCCCAAAGAAAAGCCACATTGACTCTCTATTTCATTTATTTATAGGAAGTAAAAGCTCCGAATCACTATGTGTTTTCATTAGTCGAAAAAGCTATAAATTAGTCGAACACTTCGGCGAGTAAAACGAGGAAACGTCCAAAAAGCCGCGAGGGTGCATAAGGAATAAGCTTTTAGGCCTAAGTGAGCTTTCGCTACACATAAAAAATTGTCACGTTGTACTTTGATAAAAGAACAGTTTATTTACACACTTGCTCGTAAAGTCGGACCTTATTGTATAGAATTACATGGATTTGTGTAACAAATATAAAAATACTAGATTTATCGCGCGCGTCCCTGTTTCAAAAACCGGGATAAAAACTATCCTATGTACTTTCCCGGGACTCAAACTATCTCATCAATATCGGTTCAGTGGTTTTGGCGTGAAAGAGAGACAGACAGACAGACAGAGTTACTTTTTTTTAATGCATGACCACGCAGGTATTTGACCACAATCTACAATACTTTCGCATTTATAATATTAGTATAGATTATTTTTTATTTTTACACTTTTGGCGAGCTTTTATTCTCTTTGTAAGATTACTTTGAATAATGACTGAATGATACGAAAAAGCTTGGGTCTTTGACCAAGTAATTTTCTAACTCCATCTGTAGATTATAATATTACTAGCTGACCCGGCGAACTTCGTACCGCCTTAGCGTAGAGATTTTCTTAATATTTTTTTCCGTAAGAACCATCTTTGGACTTCCACAAACATTTAAAAAAAAGAATTATCGAAATCGGTTCAGCCGTTCACACGTGATGCCGTGACAACGCGAAACGGGTTTCATTTTTATATATATAAGATTAGGTTTTTCTTAAAAGTTAAAAGGCATAAGAAATGTCTGGAGTCTCGTAGATAAAGTATCGTAAAATGTTTTGCAGTGTAAACTATTAAGTTAAGTAAAAGCTTAGCGCATCTAAATTAGCATCGAGTAAAAACAGCAATGTTGGTTTTAATTGACTCGTCGTGAAATGCATCAAGCGACCTTAGAACGCAAGGCATGAGCGCGAGCGGGAGCGGGAAGCGATTACAAATGTCATAAGTCACTATTTTATCATTTATGAACTCGAGGGTTTTTTTATTTCGAAATTCTAATTTAAGTAATGGCTATTGTTTGATATGTTATGTTAAAAATAATTGTGAGTAAAGCTAAATAAATGGCATGTTGTTACTTAAATGGCGTATGTCTGATGATCTGATTTAATCATGTTTACAATAGCCAAACAAAAAATGCCTTGATACTTTTGACCTCAAGTAGCTCGTGACATAAAGCACAGACCCATAGAGCTTCCAGACGAAGCATGCCCACCGCATGCCGACATTGCCGACACAAATTTATAGGTAAAAGTTCGCGACCGATCCAACCGGTCCTCAGACCCCAACCAAAACAAACCCAACTCTACTCCCCTCTAACACGGTCCTTATTCTAACGTCATAACTTGCGCCTTATCGGATACTTTCTTAATTGTGCTCTTAGTCCACGGCCGTGGGAATGTTGACCTTATTACGTGAGCGGTTGGTTTCGTTTTAAATTGATCGGTCTTCTCGGCCTTGCCGCCGGTGGATCGCTCTCACCTTAGGTTCGCGTGTGAACCTACATTAACCTGCCGCATTGAGTGGCGGTGTCAGGTGCATCGCTCGCTTTCTTTGTTGCGGCTTTTTTAATTGGTCGTGTAAATAGATGTTGAGATACAACTATTGGGCGTGCGAGGGCCAATCTTTAATGTGGATTTATGATGGACTCATATTGGGTCACGCCTTTTGTTCTATGGTGCCGTTGAAATGCTCTATCATTTGAACCACAGTTCGTTAAGTAAAGACGAAACTGGAAATTGTTGTTGATTGTGCGCAAAAAATAGAAAGTGACATTATGATTTACGACAAAATTAGCCCAAGACAATAAATAAAAAAAATTAACTGTTGTGATTGTAAAATAATTTCTCTACAACTTAATCAAAGGCGGTAAAATCGTTGAAGTTAATAATTTTAACTTAGGAAATATAAATATTAAATTATAAACATCAATTTATTCATTGCGATCAGAATCACATGTTGTATTGACAGTTCATGATTCACACCATGTCTATTTATCCTATTTATTATGAGGACGTAGATAAAAAAGATAAACTTACAGAATGTTAATAGAGGTCCAACGCGACGCGACGGTCCGGCCAAGGCCCGATTAGGGTTGACTGACCATATAAAAATGACATAAGTAAAAAGTTATAAATTTAAATATCGTATTTTTCCTCCCGAAGCCACCAGGCCAGTATGCCAAATCCTGCATTTGACCCTGGTAAATTGAAAATTGGAGTTTAGATGACCTGATGATCATTATCATATTTTTTTATTTCAAGTTAAGCCACTCTCAGTATCCACATAAACAACAACTCAGTCGAAAACTCGAAACTACATAAACCTCACAAATTGTAACTCTGAACATATTCTGAATAACCCAAAACCGCCAACACCTAATGTCACTTATGTCATTGAAGTAAGTTTCGCTGTCATTAACAGCCTTTATGTGACAACTGCCAACCCTAGGCCCTTCGTAACTCAAAGTATGGACAGAGATAAACACGGCGGGCTAACAACACAATTGTACTTAATTAAGAAAATACTTTTGGCCCATTCTCTGCGGAATCTCTTGGCGATTTTATTAATTAAGTGCACTTTAAGCGCGACAACGGACAGATGCTTGATGCCTTTAGGAATTTGTTAATGTAAAACTAATTTGTGAAATGCCTTATGGATCTTTATTTAAGACTCTTAAAAGTGTCTTATGCCCGTTTTCACCATCAATCCCTAATTTTTAAGTGACCCATATGAAAACAAATTTCCTGTTATGTGTTAACATAAGTGTCACTTAAAATTTAGGGATTGATGGTGAAAACAGGCATTAACGTCTTTGACAAACATTGTCGCTTTCTTTTCAATAGTGATTGAACTAAGATGAAATGATATCCCTATTCGTCAAAAACGTTTTAGATTAAACGGTCTTATGACTGATTTAATTAGGATAATTGGGTTACGATTTAATAATAGATACAACATAGTAATAGACTAGAGAAACTAAATACCAATTACACTAAACCTTCCAGTATCAAGTGACAGACAGACACAACGTAATACTTATACGGAGGACATTGATTTAACACGGGACCAGTGTGAATAGTCGCCTCTGTTCAGATAGGGTCTTTGATCTATGCTTTATGGGGTACTGTGGGTGAAAATGTGAGAAAACCAACAGTAAGCTACAACGTTAACTGAGAACTAACTTCAACTCGTACTATACAAATATTATAAAGCTGAAGAGTTTGTTTTTTTGAACGCGCTAATCTCAGCAAGTACTGGTCCGATTTGAAAAATTATTTTTGTGTTGGATATCCCATTTACCAAGGAAGACTTTAGGCTATATAAATCTATGTTACAGCCAATAGGGGCGGAGCAGTAAAGAAAAATGTTGCAAAAACGGGAATTATCAAGCTATTTTCACGCGTAAGAAGTCGCGGGCACAGCTTTTAATATAGAAAGTGGTAGCAATAAATTGTACTGTGAAACTGTAAAATAGCGTCAGGGTGACTCATAAACGATCGGGCCATTAAATATCGATGCAAGTTTATTGGCAATTTAAGGAAAACAGACATTTCTGTCGTCATAATCTCCAATAGTTTACTCTAAGGTGTGCTATTAAATATAGGAAGAAAATTTCCTGCTGTTAATACTTATTTAAGGATCTTCTTAACTAATATTATGTAACGTCTGTACCAGCTACATGTGATTTTATTTATCTACAATGATCTTTCAGGGTTTAAAAGTGAAACAATAATAATAATCTAATGTCTAACCTGACCATGGTTTGATTTAAAAAATCGGATATTTGAAATCTGGAATTTGGCACAGTTAACCATGTCTACAATTTTTTTCCAAAAATAAGTAATAATAATGTCATTCATACAAATTCAATGACTTTGAAGGTTTTTTGACTTTACGCAGTCAAGTCCTTCTTCTATTCAGAACCATTTTGATACCACGAAACTTATTGACACAACAACGCATCCTACACTTGTAATAACCGAGCATCAAAATTCCAAAACAATCGGCTCGTCCAAGAGGCTTTATTACTTAATCGGCATGACTCAACTAATTACAGGCGCGGGCGCATGCGTGCCGGCTCTACGATTTAACACCTGTCAACGTTGCTCTGACAGACGGATAGACGGCGAGCGGGGTGTGGTGCATAAGTTGTATGTTAGCGGGTGATATTTGTTTTTTTTTTAATAAACATACTGTTGCGAACGATCCTCCTTCCACCTTTATACTCTTTCGGCCTATAGATGTGTAAAAACCAAATTCTCTGTGTCATTGTCATTTTTGTACTTTTTGACTTGTCATTATAAAACTTAAGCTCGTGATTATATTTCTGTACGATCTCGCATCTGTCTATCTTTTATTCAAACGCACAATAATCATACAGTCCACATTTAGTTCACCACAAGACATACTATAGTATTTCTTAAAGAAAAGTATGTAATTACATAGTAAATATTTTTGGCTTTGGCAAAGAAAATTAATGTTTTTCATAGAGTGGATGAAAACTGATTGCGCTTTTAAAGGCTTTTCTCGTGACCACGTAGGTCGTAGGTACTAATAAACTTATGATATTGAACAGTTACTTTGTTGCCAAGATTTTTTGGGAACAATTCTTAGTTCCTTATTTATGTGAATAAATAAAATTAAAATTGTCAGGAACATAATTTTGCAGTTATAATAAAATCATATTTCGGCAAATGGAAGCATTACATGAACAAATTATGAATGTGTTTTTTTATTTTCTGAAGAAGTTCTAATGCCAAAAACGCTAACGCTTATGAAATGCGACCCACATATTTTAGACTTCATAAAATAAAGTTCGGTTGTATGCACCGATGGAACAAGATAACGTTGTTTTTGACTAATTAGTACGCACTATTTATTATTGTCTACATTTTAAGCTAACATTCAAATATTTAGCTAACTAAATATGAAATAACTACTATTTTTAAAATTAAATATTTCAATCAATCTTGATTGATAAATGTGCTAAGTTGTTAGTGGTTTATCAAACATGATTATTTTCTATAATAGATATTATTGGTAGTAATGAAATATTAACAATTACTACTCTATGTATTGTGTACGTACCTACTTAGTACTCTTCAGCCATAAGGATATTTTCAATTAACAAATCTCTTTCAAACAAATAAATTACAGCCCAAGTTAATGTGTATCGATATGGATTGCTTCACAACATCGCTTTACCGATTTTATAGACTCCAAATATGACGCAAGAATAGAAACCGCCCGTCTCTAGTATTAATTGAACAAATCGAGTAATAAATCGATAATCGGAACAATGGCTCTGCGACGACAGCTATTAATCGGTATCGGACCATATTCTCGAATAAACTTATGGATTCTTTATGTGTAATTGTTAAGGGGCAGGTTTTACTCAACATTAACAAAGCTTTGGTTAAGTCTTGTTTTGGTGTAACCCGACCGAAACGTCATTGGGGCGAAAAAAAAAAACATTCTTCTACGTAAAATAAAACTTTTTCTAACGTGATGATAGATATTTATTTAAATCATCATCATTCAGTAATATCATTAAAAACCGTTTAATAATAAATAGACAGATATTCAAATCCATAGCACTTAAAAATGTGTAAAAATATAATGACAGTATTTAATTTATTCATCAATAATAACCGTGTATGCTACCAATATTATAGGTGGTATTTCCAACACTTTGTTAAAAGTCGATCGTTTAGGAATATGCCTAGATCTCAAATAATAAACACATTTGGTAGGAAAACACATCATTACGTGGGTGGAACGTGCTGTGAACCTTTTACTAAGCAAATTTTTGATGTCCAATCGATAAACGAGGAATATTTTGGTTATGATACTACCAAACAAACGATATGTCTATCGGGTAGTACCTACTACAATTTTTTCCAAGATACAACTTTACATTCTGATCCTGAAAACTTGATCTTTTATCGATAAAAATTAATAAATCAATTTTTAGTTGATTTGGAATTAATAAATTCTTGTGCTACAAAATCAATGGAAAAATCGTCCATGAAATACCTATGTTAGTTGAGGAATTAGCTAATTTGTAAAATTTACTATAGTGAACATGCATTTATGCATATTTTAGGAGTTTTTAGAAAGAACAGACATCGAAGATCTCTACCACCCTTTAAAGATGGGTTGAAAGCTCTTAGGTTTTCACTAATGTTAGTCAATGAGGGTTTTCGCGAATGAAAGATCCGCTAGATGGCGGGTCGTAGATGTGGGGTCTGACTGCTGCGTGATTGGTGGATTTTGACATATCTGTCAATGTCATGTCAAAAATAACCAATCATGCAGCATTTGGACCTCGCGTCTACGTGTTGCAATCTGGCGGATTTTTCGCGAAATTTTTTTTTTTTTTTTTTGTACGCGAAAACCCTCATTAAAAGTAGATATAAACAAATCTTCTCCTTAACGCGATTTGTCGTCAAGTACTGAGTGTTCGTGACAAATGCAGTATCGATAAGCGGTACCGATAAACCTGAATCGAGAGATTAGATCGATATCTCGGCCCCGGATGTAACATATGACTACAGATAAGGCCTGGAGATTACTCTAGCTGAAATATTACAACTTGTTGCAGATTAATTGTGGGGGTATTTGTTTTATAATATATGGCAGATCATCCTGTAGGTATAGTGCTTTCACTGTAAATTGCAATGGCAGAAACTTTAAAGTTATTATCGCAGAAACTACTTATCGGTATAGTAATAATATGCTATGTAAAATTTTTAAGGCTGAGTTGCAACATCTTACTTTGACTATAACAAACGTCAAAAGTCTGTCAAACTCCATAAAAAGACCAACAAACAAACAAAGTGGTGCAACTCAGCTTAAATAAATAAATAATCCCATTAATGTCATCGTAACATAATTATTGTTTTAATTTTTTATTACTTAAAAAGTGATTTTGAAGAAAACTATTTTAAAGTTACTGAATTTTAAAGTTCAGCTTTTTATGTCATCGTAAATTTAATTAACATTAACGTCATAATAATATGTTTTGATTTAAATAATATTATTCGCATTGTTAATCGGAATACCTATTTGAGAAAAGACACACGTTATTTGTTTTTTATAAATTTAAAAAAAACTACATGTATCTTTACATAAACATTTACCCCCTTATTAATAAAAGTTGCACCATAGTTGAAACAGCGTTCAACTAGGGCTAGGGTGTAACTTGTTATCAACAAGGGATTTAGGTTACAAAATTCCCTTAACCCCTCGATAACCATTCTCACAAGCACTAAACAAGTGAAATAAAGGAAACTTCAGCAGTTACTACTCATCTTAACCCGTTGGCCGCCCATTACCTTAAACATGACCGATATCTTAGACAATGACCATTAGTGCGATGGTCGATTAGACCAAGCAAACTAGTTGGCGCACAAATCAGCTGATATTCAATCTCTGCCTTAGCTAAGGGCCGCATTGGAATATCAGCGATGTAACGCGGGCTCTTGGGTGTAGCGACATTACGGTTTAGTTGTGAGTTGTTACTGGATGAGGCATAGATCATAGAATGTAGTAAATCGATTTTTTAAGCTTTTATGAGCTGTAAAATGGGAGGTATAGAATGTTTTTGCAGCAAAAAAGAAGCAAAGGGAGAGTTGAAGAGCGACGAAAAAAGTTGAAGAGCAAAAAAAATAACACAATGCAGAGGAAACGAACGACGAAATTTTTATAAAATATTTTAAAAGAACTTGACTTCATAAGTTTGCTTAATTAGTTGACCATGAAAGCGATACAAATATGAGTATTAAAAGATAAATATCGGATTAATAAAAGGTCATTTGAAATTTACGTACAAATTATTTAGCAAAAACAAAACAAAATGTCGGTGTCTTTATCCACTTTCGTCTAATTTAAACCGTGTCACATACAAAGCTGATACCGTATCCATCGGCTCTTAATCTCCGTTTAACGATCTGTAAAGGGATACGGAAGGGATAGGTGAAGGGCTGGCTGCACAAATTAAGGGTTCCTAATGGTTATCGACGGATCTAAGGACGGTATAACTGGCCTTAGTGACGTGCGGGATGAATTTTAATGTCCTACCGCGTTTGAAGGGTTAACTTGTGTGCGGTAAACAATGTGTATGCAGAAAACGCGAGAGATAAAACAAAAAGGAAAACAAAATAGGTACTACTTTGATAGTCAATTTCTTTAGCAGCAAATAGTCTTTAGTAAAGATATCATATCTTAATTTAAAGAAGTGCTTTTTGAGTGTGGTGTGGTGTACATAGAAATAACTCTAGATTAAATTCAAGAGAGCCAACTTAAATGTGGTATAAGAAACCAAGAAAAAGGTTCTATAAAAGTTACTCGCCACCGCTAGACCATTGTGGTTTGTGGTAAATCCACTTGTTACACAAGCATAATAATATTTATCTTACCACGAGGGGTTAACGGGATTATGAGTAATTTGTATTTATAAATTGCAAATATTCTTTAAAAGAAATCAACTTACACTGCTTACACTTTCAAGAAAGTAATGTACTTTTTTTTTAAATCTATTTAACAAGTTTTTATATGAATAAACTCAATTCATGTTTCCAAAGCAAAAGAGACACTTACCTACATCTGAATAGGTAAGTAAGAGACATTTTAAAATTATTCTGCTTGCTCTTACAGGGCAATATGCCCATTCATGAAAATCTATTTTTTTTCACGATTTTTTACTATGAAAAACCCCATTTATGTTTCCTAAGTAAAAGGGACTTTATTTATTTATTTATGTCTGAATACATTGGTTCAATTCCAAAGCCCCAGCCACGGAGAGCGGCTAATTACGCGTACGTCACATAAATAATAAACAACGCAAATT